GAAGTGAAGTCATGGCTGGGATGGCCATGTTGAAACTGAAATTGTGAGGCTGCAGAAACTCAAAGGAAGTTTTGGGGGAGAGAGATGGGAATAGTGTACACAATGCAGGGAGAAGCAACAAAGCAGGAAGACAGAGGGGAGAATCCACTAAGCTGCCTCTGTTTCTGCCCTCTCTCAGCTTTTCTGTTTATTCTGTGTGCCACGAGGTTTCTTACTTTCCTCAGAGAACCAGTCCTTCATAATGCTAATCTTTTCTACGTGGTTTAGTTTGAGTGTGTATGTGCGACCAAGAATAAAAAGCACAACAGTGAAAAGTAAGACTGCTGGAGATCTGAAGGAAAAATTATTCAGCTTCCAAAATGTGGGAAAGGTTTATTGTGGAATCTCACAGATGAGTAAGACTGACAGTAATTTTTTGAAAAATCCTAAATTGGACACTAAAAACAATTTGTCAGCAATTAGCAGAGAGGATTATAATAAATGACCACTGCTTATCTATGAAGAAACCATGCTAAAATAGCATAAATTTCTCTTTGTGACTGTCTCTAGAGTGGTAGACCCAAGGGTTTCATGGACACTCCCTCATGCCACATTTGAGGGGGCAGAAAATTGTGAAAAAGTGTATAATAGGTAGAGGGTGTGTGGTACTACAGCTAAGAGCATTGGCCTGGAGCCATAAAACCTGTGAGAAAGCCTGACTTTGTCATCTACAGTCTTTGTGATTGCAGATAACCTGTATTTACCTCAGTTGTCTTACCTGTCAAATGGGTATAATATTTCCTACATTAGCGTGTTGCTGTCATAATTACCTAGCAAATAATAAATGCTTGATAAAGATCAGCTATTACTATTACCAAGTTGTTTGAATGATGCTATTGTAAAAGTGTTCAATAATAGATCATTTTAACCAAAGAAACCTGTCATTTTGGAGAATTTGAAACAGGCACCATCTTGTTTGACATTTTTATCAATTATTTTTTAATAATTAGTAGACCAGTGGTCAAAGAGTCTGCATACAAATGAATAATGCTCTACAGACCGAGAATCAGGATTTGGAGGAATCATGAAGTGATGGAATTCTCAGGCAAAACAGTCAAACATAACTTACTAAGAGTAATATCCTGGGGGTAACTATAAAGCCATTAAAATTCATGCAAAAGTGACCTGGAGATTATAGGTCCTAATGTAGTCCAACATTACAACCTAACAATAAGCTCATTTAACCTCAGCCTACAATACCAGATGTATATGAACCAGATGATATAGTCCTAGCATACTTGGTTCTGGATAGGTTAGTTGGAGTGCTGCATCCAATCCTGGGCCACATTTTAAGAGACACTGACATATAAGAGAACATGCAAAGGTCCCATGAGAGCGCACCACTTGAGGACCAGTTAGGGAAATGAAGGATGAAAATTGGAGAAAAGAGGCCAAGAATTAATGATGATTTGCTTGAGAGAATGCAGACATTGAATTCAGGGACTTAGGCTTCTACATTCACTCTCTCCCCTTCATGCCTCTTCACTCTACAGTCTTGTTCCTGCTCCCACAAACCCTTAAATAATGCTCTGCCCAGGGTCACACTGATCTCCAAGGAACACTGCTCAAACCTGGCCTTTCTTGGCCCCTTGGGAGAATCTCACCTTATTGATCACTGTCACCTTCTATTATACTCTCTTCCCTCAGCTTCCATAACATAATGACCTCCTAGTTTCCTCCCTTCCTTTCCTCACCATGCACATGCTCCCTGTTGACCTAACACATGCTCTGGTCTTCCTATAATCTCTGTGCTGATCGCTCTCAAATCCATCACTTCTGTTTGCATACTCGATCACCTATAAGAAATCTTCTCTTCCACATGGAGACTCAGACTCAAAGCAAAAAATGGAAAAGTGAAATCAAGTTGTAAAATACAGGACGAATTCTTAAAGTTGGCTTCCCACAACTGTATGAGCAATACGGTTACTGCTGTAAGCAAATGAACCTCCCTCCCAATGAATATTTTATTTCCAAATCTCAAACATTTTGTTTTGCCCAGAAGACAAAATAATGAAGCATAGATTAGATTCCCAATGGGCTTCTTACCCATCCACACCTCTCAGCAAAGTTGGGCACAATGTCCGACCAGCACCTAATCAAGTCCTTTCATAGTTTCAGTTTTATTAAATCAAAATAATGCAATTCTGGCTGCAGTAACAGTCACTCAATTGAGACTTGGCTAAGTCACTTGAAAAAATACAAACTAACTACAAGTTATTAAAATAATGAAACTAGATTTTGTGTTTGTGGCTTTGCTCTCCTTAAATGGTTATTTGTGCTTTTACATTTTCCATCAGAGACCAGCCACTGTAGAGATTGCTCTGGTCTTGCCCCTTGGCTTAAAGAAATGGAAAAAAATCTCCTCCCTCTGGCAACAGCATCATTCTTTGGAAGGCTTTGCTGAACTTCTGGTTCTCATTCTGTATTTTTGCTGCTTTCACCATCAATGTTGCACAAGACAGATGGCATGCCTGTAACATCATCTCTGAAGGGCCTCTGATGAGCTGCTCTGCAGTTACTGGAACAAGTATTTTTTATTTGACAGTTTTCAAACACCTCCAAAATTTATCTGATGGGCCTTGTTACTGTTCCATCCTCAAGTAAGTCCAGAGAGATGGAGTCCAGTCTCTGGAAAGGTTTCATCTCATTTCCTCCCTACTCTTCCTGCCAAAGCTTGCTTTAAAGTCCAGTTCAAAAGCTTCCCCCTCTCTGCAGCTTTCTCCATGATGCTTTATGAAATCGCTACGTGGTGCCGAGCATATTGCAATGCTCTGCCAAGGCCACGAGTTCTATTTTGGTTTGTGCTCAAAGTGATAGAATTGCAACGACTGTGTAGGGCTTATACCAAAAGGCTAGTTTGGAATTCAGTTCTTTCTCATTAATTAATAGCTATCATTAGGCTGGTGCTAAAATATGTCTGTGATATTCGATTTAACTTGAACTTACTGAGCTCCTGTAAGATTCCCAACTCTGGACTCAGTGCCTGGGTCATACAGTTAGTGGAAGGCAGCTCCCACCTTCACAAACCCCAGAGTCAGGAGGGCATGTGGGCACAATCACAATTAGTAAGAATATAATATGATGAACTGCTGTGCTTGTGGTATGAAAAAGGGCTTTGAAAGCAACTTTTCTATTTTGTTTTCATACAGAATGATCAAGATCTCACCATGTGAAGAAAAACAATGGCTACTGCAGGCAAATGGAATGAGGCAGGCACCCATTATTAAGCTTGTGAAGCTCACCTAAACACTAGAGCAAGGAAAGCGGACTTCAAAACCATTGTCAAGTTTGTGCTTATAAGTTTGTCTTATGTTGCATCCTATTTTCTTTGAATACTAGTAAATACAACTTTCTAATGAGCAAACACTATGGTTCAATATTTCTATAATATTGAACTTTTCTAAATATAAAACAAGATTTTCTTTAACCCATAAAATTATCCCTCAAAAACAAGGCAATCCATATATTCAGGACCTCAGAAAGTCTCTGGAAGTACAGGAAGTTTCTCTTATTTGTTTTAAAAAAGAGATGTGCTATTTGGAAAAGATATGTTAACCTCAAACAACCTCAATCAATGGTAGGTTTTTAAAGAACTGGTAAAAGGAGGGCTACAATTTTTCTTACAAGGATAAAGCATTTTTTTCCTGAGAATATGTCCTCAAAGTTACAAGTGCTGGATGTTGGGAGTCTTTACAAGCAAGGCTTCAAAAAACCATGATCACCTTAAAAAGAAACATACTAAATCACTGTGTTGTGGACAGGTGGGATGGGGGGAATGTCCCAGTGTTATCAGAGTTGGCACTTGTCTCTTCAGAAAAGATTTCTAGTGAAAACATCAAGTGTGGATTCAAAAGTATTATATATTAACAATGTAAATGGATATGAACATGATGTGTTAGATGACTCAAAAAGTGATTTTATTAATGATGAAAATATATGTCAAAATATATGTAAATTGACTAAAATTACTTTATGAAGTGTGAGAGTAGAAATCAATATTTCTAAATTAATAAATAGTTCATAATTTTATATATGAATGTATAATTACATAATAAAATAAGTAGCTGCCTAACTTTACAATTTATAGCCCTAAAAAGTTGCATAAAAAAGTTAGCAATAAATGTTTTATAAATAGAATATCATGAAAATTGCAGATTACCTCATATTTTGGGTTCCTTGATTTTCAAGCAACTTTTATTGCATAGCATTGTATATGGAGAATTGAATAAGTGTCACTGGTGATCATTATTATAACAAATGGAAACTTCTGTTTTGCAAAAAGAAAGGTTAACTAAAATGAGCCTAAATTTAAACAAAAACAAAAATCGAAATCATGATTCCTAGTATCAGGCAAATTAAGTATTAAATAAGGCCATGACACCCAAACATTTTTCTGATCTATTTGTAGAGAGCAACCATAAAAGCAACCAACCAAAAATAGAAGTTATTCTTCCCCCTCTGCATTATTTAATTTACATGAGGTTAGTCAGTCCAGAAGGTATAATGAAACCTAAAAACATAGTTCTCTGTGTATATAATTTAAAAGCTTACATATCCCTACTATTAAGATGATGCAGAGCCCTAGCTGGTTTAGTGAAGTGGTTAGAGCGCTGGCCTGCAAACTGAAGGTTTAATTCTGGACAAGGGCACGTTGGCCCCGCTCAGGGCACATGCAGGATGCAACCAATCAATGTGTCTCTCTCACATTGATGTTTCTCTCTCTCCCCCAACCCCTTCCACTTTCTGAAAAGCAATGAAAAAATATATATCTCCTAGGGTGGGGATGAAGACAATGCAGAGGAAGGCATGAAATATTCCTGTTCAAACGCCATGGCTAGTGGCATATTATAGATGTGTGGGGCAGGGTTAGGGATTTGGTTCTTCAAGCACGGTAACTTCTAGTTTGGCTTGCCTAACTTTATCTGAAAATAAAGTCATTTACTTAGCTTCAGAATACATACCTCTAAGTAGTCTGTGGAGCAGTTTATGTAATGTTCCAATTCAAATTCTAAAAACGTGTAATTCACAGTGTTGCCAGTTGTTGCTTGGATGGTCCAGTTGCAACGCTGGTTGTGAGAATAGGGATTTGGATAATGTATACTCTCTAAGATGCCATAGGTTCGATTCACAATCATCACGTTCTCACATGCTGGAAAAAATAACCATGATTGTTAAGAACCACTCTCACATATACCAAAATTGCTCCAAGATGTGTGTGAGACTTCCTTTAAAAAATTTAGTTTTAAAGAAGGACACACACACACACACACATATATATCTATATCTATATATCTATATCTATCTATCATCTATCTATATATTTGGTATAGCATTTTTATAGTGAAAGAGTCTCCATTTAGAACAAATGTAAAATGATTGAGTGAATTCACCAACTTGAAAGTGTCATGAAAATTGCCTGTGTCAGAATGGGCATCCAAGTCCTGTGAACTGTGGAAAGCCAAATAGCTTAGCACTAGTCAGAGATCTGTTTGTTTAGAGAAGTGTATTAAACATTCTATGCTTCTGTTTTTCTAACTTTAACATTTGGAAGGGACAGAAATCTTGACCTTTAAATTCAACAGTTTAAAAACACAAAGTTCTATGTGAATGCTAAAAACGAATAATAGCATGGCTTTGTTGAATTCAAAAGTCAGCATGTAACCCATGACAAAGGCTCTGTTATCCCCCTAGTTAGTCATCAGGAAGTACCCAGCGAATAGAGGGAATGTACAGGATTGGAAGAAAAATGAAAATCTTAAATTTTTTTAAAAGCCTTCAATCCAAGGGTTGCATTTTCTTCAACTTAGTTTTCAACAAAACTATACTAGGTACCTCTGGAGGGGGTATGGCTTGTGCTGGGCGTCAGTGCCAATTTCAGTCACCTAATGACTTAAAGGCATACGCGCGCCTTTTCTCAAGTCTTTCTTATATTATTTGTATGGCGTGCAATATAGGAGAATGGGAAAATAAATGTTATATTGAAAAGTTGTCTCTGAAGAACATGGTTCATACATGCATTTCTACCACAGGACTGTCTCCTGGCAGGTGGCTGGAATACTGTTTATAAACTTTGGTTTGAAAAGTATACACTTGCGGCTCTTCAGAAATCTTCCTTTGCTAGAGCAGGGGAGTACTCAAACTATTTCTCTTGGAATATTTTTAGGTAATATTTTTGTCCACACAGGATTTCTAAAGAATGATTTTGTGATTTTAGGTGCCTGCAAGAAGTTACACCTATTAGGCAGACAGGCATCGTGTGCCTCAATGACGACAAAACAGGGCAGAGGAAAATATGGTCCATTAAACCATGTGAGCTGTTCTCAGTGCTCAAAAATTATACTATCTGCCAAATGGCAAATGATATGGAAAATCTCACTGGTTACTTCTGATTTTTACCTTTAAGCACCCATGTGCACTAAATTACTCCTTTAGTGTTCTGAAATTATGGGAGAGAGTAAAATATCATAGAAATAAAAGTAACTGAGAAACATATTAGCACAGCAATAATAAAATTAGAGAAAGGATTATGTGCTCAACCAAATGGATATATCCCTGCTGGGATTTGGGAGGGCTTTTCATGCACTAATGATGAATTTCTGAAGAACAAAGCTACATGTCATTAAAACTCAGTATTCAAAACCATCTAGAGTTCAGCCTAACCCTAGATATAAGTGAATACGAATCTTTAAATTCACACATAATCAAAGTTAAACATTAACTATACTCTCAACTAATCCAAAGTATATTCAGATCATGATTTTGTGACTTTCAATTCTATTTTTAGATAATTGTGTCAAAATTATGGATAAACTTAGATTTAGTGGGGCAAATGGTACTTTCAAAAATACAAGTAGCCTTGGCCAGTTTTGCTCAGTGGTTAGAGCATTGGCTTGCGGGTTGCAAGTTCGATTCCTGGTCAAGGGCATGCACCTCAGTTGCAGGTTCACTCCCTTCCCCAGTGGGGGGTGCGTTTGGGAGGCAACCAGTCGATGTGTCTCTCTTACATGGATGTTTCTCTCTCTCTCTTTCTCTCTCCCGCCTCCTCCCTCCCTTCCACTCTCTTTAAAGATCAATGGAAAAAATATCCTCCTGTGAGGATTAAAAAAACAACAACACACACAAAAAAACACAAGTCAAGTGTTTATTAAATAACATAAACTCAAGAAAACTTTGTCAAATGTCCATTTTGAAGCTAACTTTAGAAAGCATTTAATTCTAGAGCTAGAAGGGAGCTTTCACAATCACCTAATTTAATCTCCTTTCTTTAGGAGAAAAAATATCATGGAACCCCAGAGAAGAAAAGTGATCTTCCCAGGCCAGACAAGCCCCTGGGCCCCTGGACTTTCTGTGTGATGCTCCTTTAATTCCAGGTTGCCTAATAGGAAAGCAGGTTTTAAAATGGCATCTCTACAAAGACCAGATTTTCCCACAGTAAAGAACGTGCTTATTCCATGTTTGGCTCACAAGGACCATAGTTTCCTGTAATAAAATTAAGGTAGCTTCTGAAGTACAAGACAAAAAAAAATTGTGTGGAGTATACTACGTACAGTGGAATAATTAGAAGATCATAATGTTTGATACTAATGCAAATCCATTAGCTGTTAACCGGTTACACTGATCTTTAGCTGAATTGCAACTATTTCAGCATATTAAATACGCTCCTAAGTTTCTATAGCTTACCACATGCTTTAGTTAAATGATAAATTTAATGCATAACCATTTCTCCCTCCAATAGAGTTAAATTTTTCTCAATAAGGAAATAAGATTTATTTTAATGGCTTATACTTATTTCAGTTTGTTTCATTCATCAAAAGATTGAAGATCTACTACAGGCATCAAGCAGCCAGTGTACATACTTACTCTGCCGGTATTTGGCCAGGAAGCCACCTCCTTGTTGACCTTCATCTGTCCTCAGTTTTAAAAACATGCTGTCTCCACTCGAACGAATCGGAGGCGGTTTCTCATTTCCACAAAGCTGAGTTAACAGATGAGAGCTGGTACTTGGGCCATCATATACCTTTAATAAAACATTTTAAATGTCAAACGATTACGGCTATAAACATTATGTAAAGGCCTCTGTAATCCTAAAGAACTGGAAAGGGAATTCATATATGACATAACAAAAAGATAACCCTGAATCAAAATATCTTTAAAAATTACATTTAAATGTGTATAAACTTAGGCCATGAACTCAGGCCATTTAGCCATGGCTGTGTATAGCTGTAAAGTTGTGAACCCAGGCTGAAATCTGAAGATTGAAACTAAAAGACTAATACATATTTTTGAGACCATAGCTGTTATCAGTAGTCTTCCTTGCTTTTTTATTTCATAGCTTATAATTTATGACAAGTTAATACATTTTTAAATTTAGATTGTGTTTTAATGGAAAAGGCTGAATAGCTGGCACTATAAAAAGTCGTATTTGGAGGACTTCAATTATCATCTCTAAATCACCAATGTAGTCCTCTAAATTGCTATTTTGCACTGCAGATATAGAAAGTACAGAGACAATAATTATGATAAATCTCATAACCCCTTTTCAGTAGGCTTTCAATCATATCTTAATTGTCCATATTTCATATATTTTAATATTTAGTGTATATATAGTTCCTTCAATATATGTTAATATTATATAAATACCAAGTCATTCAGTAATACATGATATACTTAGAAGGCAAGTCATTTCCTTTTCTTTTAATTTTTTATTTTGTTTAAAATGTTTATGTGGATGTTTTGTTTAAATGTTTCCCTTTCTCAAATCTCAAAAACAAAAATAAATTCATTTATGACTGTGGGGCAAGGAGGAAGCAGTGAATGACACAACTGAAACTTCATACATACAGCCAGATAATCTAAAGTGCAGTTTGGATGGTGCTCCAAGTGAAAGTCTTCAAACTCCAGTTCAAACGGGCTGCCGTGGCTGGCTTTCAGCCCCCAGTAGCATTCGGAGCTGTGGTAATAGGGCATCGGGTAGTTGGGAGATGTGAACGTGCCAGTGGGAGTGGTGAGATTGCCCCCACAACCTACAGGAGACAGAGATGGAATGATGCGTAGCCTAGTCAGATTGAATCTTGTCTATATCTAACTGGTGTTACTATTACTCCCCTTTAATCCAAGATGCAAAACAACTACATCATCAATGAGTAGCTAGCCCAGAATCTTAATTCATGTCAGTGTACTTTCCTTTTCCTAACCAAGATGACCAGTTTGATGAAATATACCAGGGAACCAGAACATTTTCTCCTACTTTGTCTTAAAAAAAAAAAAAAATGCTGCTATTAAGTCAGAAATATTTACAATGTTGAAGCTTATTACAAATAGTAATCACAAAACACAGATGGAAAAATAAAGATAAGAGTATGTCAATACATGAACCAAGAAACCAACCCAATTGGACTTGCCAAGTGTTGGGTAGCCTGGGGAGGGAGTGGGAGGGAGGTGGAGGGGATTAATGGAGAGGGTTAATGGATGGGGGGACATCTGTAATACTTTTAACAATAAAGATAAATTTTTTAAAAAGATAGCTTTTTGCTATTTACCTGTTAATGATCCATCCCAGTAAGCTGAGAATCCGGACCTTACGTCAGAGATATCACTCACAAATTGCAACCATAATTTGTTACTGTGAGAGATGATTCTTGGAGGTGGGTTTGAGCCGCAGTATTTTCCCAGGAGTGGGGAAGTTTCATACCCTCCATCTCTGTGACAAAAGATAGATGCGGACATTCACCAGGTTAGTGACAGTATTACTGTATAAACATTTAACATTATTTGAACTTTGAGATTGCAAACACATCAGTTTAAGTCAATCAATGTCTCTCAAAAATACTCTTAAAAACATCATTTTCAATTTATTAAGTAGTACTTGAATAATTTAATAAAGAACAACCATCATTTATGGTTGGCACAACATTTTATATAATAGATTGCAAACTGAGACGAAGTATTTAGTCTTCTCTTCAAATAAAGTGTCAGGCAAATGTCAGTGAACGCCAGATAAAGAAACCATAATTATTAAAAGTATAAACAAATGTTGCTTTATTTTACAGACACAACTTCAATATTTTTCTTCTAAAAATTTTTCTTCTAAGAAAATTTTCACAATTTAATATATCATATTTGACTTATATAGCAAATTTTTTAATTTAAATTTTATTTTTCCAACACCATTTGGCCCCCTATACCCTCCCTCTTCCACCTCCAACCCCTCTGTCACCCCCTCAATCACCACACTATTGTCCATGTCGATGAGTTTTCTCATTTTTTTCTTTTTATACCAAATGATTTCACTCATATGTGGAATCTAATGAACAAATTGAACTAACTATCGCAACAATTTTAAAATAATTTTTTCCTCAAGAACTTTTAGGGTCTTAATTCTAGTTTATAATCGGTAGCTTTTTTTAAAAAAAGGATTCACTCAATATAAAAGTACAGTGATTAACCACTGTAAAGTAAGACAATTATGTTATTTTAGCATGATATAGTACAATTGTGATTTATTTTTTTTAGTATCTTACTTCATATCACAAAATAAAATTTACTATAAAATAGTATAAGATTCCAGGCTTTTGAAATGCCAAATAAAATATTTAAAACAGGTGTATAACAAGTTGATTAGCCAAATTTAACTCAATTTAATGATCTGGAGAAATACAAGTAGATAAGCTAACTTACCTTTACTGCAAATACAAAATTTTAAACACATTCCTTCAAAGTAGCAAAGAATTAAAGAAAAAATGTCTTGCACTGAAATGGACAAGGCTAGGCTTTTATTATTTGAATACAAAAACTTTGTGAAAACCTTAAGATAAGGTTGCTATTGTAACACCATTTTATGATCTAATTAGACTAAATGGACAGTGAACAACCTAAAATTTAAATTGATTTTATATAAAGTAGATAGTCAACAATAACAAGCATCTAATTTCAAAGTGGTAGTACATTTGTTTACTCTGCCCAAATAAAATCTGGAGTTTATTTTCAAATATTCACAATAAAAGAATCACTTCAAAATAACCACAGAATCTTACACAATTTTCTGTTTTTCTTCTGGTAAGTCAAGCTCCAAATGACAAACTTTATGTCTTGCAAGAAAGAGCACTACAAGAAGTTTTATAATTTTTATGTTTTTTCCTTAACATTTCCAGGAAAAATTATGAATGAAAATAATGAAAAACATTACTATGAAATGAAGGTGCTCACCTGATTTCCACAAAATCTCCCATACATACTCCACCAATGGTCTCCTCCAAGGAGAAGTTCGTGAAGTGCAATGCAATCTGTTGGCTGGTTCCCACGGTGATCTTATAAATGCACTTCCAGTTGGTGGGGTAATTATTGGGGAAGTTTGGAGACGTGAACACACCAGATTCTTCTGTATAGTTTTTCAAGCATACTGTGAAAAGAAATAGACCACGAGAGAGAAAATAAAAAATACTACTCTAGGTTCATAAGACATTCAGTAATATACCTTTGATTAATTCGCACCAATGTATTTGATTTGTAATAGGCTGTTCTGGAATGTTCAAAGAGTAATTTTATTTCAAAATGAGATTTCTGAAATCTCAAAGGCAAAACAATTATTAATAGTAAACCTAAACTAAGTAGTGTAAATTTGTTATTTATATCGTAAGTGAACAAATTTTTATGTTCTTGGAAGTGTTATAATGTTTCTAATTTGTGCAAATTACCATGGACATTATAAATGAGACTCAACTACAGAAATCAGAGAGAGGACTTAGAAATAATTTAGTTCTGTTCTCCTTCTCATAGCTTCCTTTAAGTGGTTTTCACCAAAGCATGCATTTATAAGAAATGACAAAGCAGGTACCTTGGCCATGAGGTGAAAAATAGGAGATGAGACTCAGGATCAGAATGACCATTAATGCCCAGCTCAGACACTGACAAGCTACGCAACCTTGGACAAGTTACTTCACCTCTCTGAGCCTCATCTCTAAAACGGAGATGGTAACTATCTTTGAGTACATGCAAGGCTTAGAGATAACGCAACTAAAGGCTGTGGCACATAGTATGTACTCAATAAATGGTAGTAATCATCATTAGGTTTCAAAATAAACCAGAAAGGTGTAAAACAAACAGGGCATAAATTATGAGTAATAAATCAGATCACATAAAACATTTAGACAGTACTTAGACAATTTTATGTCTTAAATAAATATTAACTGTTCTACTTTAAGAGTTTTAACTTGACCTATTAAGCCCTTCAGACTCCATATTTACTGACCAACCCACTCAATCTCTTATGCTCTCCAAATCTGAGATATTTCCCAAAGAAAATCTGGTTTCAATGCATTTTTAATGTGTTTTCAATTAAATCCAGTAATAACATAAATCAAGGGTCCAGGAGTAGACACAGATCTTCTACTGAAAGGTTTTAGGGGAAAATGCACTGAAGATGTCCTTTTTGCGCTCTCATTACCTAGAATATTTAATATTAAATAATTAAATAATTAAAATAATTGTAGTTTTAGGAGTTTCACATATCTAACTTAATATGTCCATTTCTTGAAAAGCTTAGTAACCTCTCTTATCTAACTCTGAAGTCTGTACCCAATGTTCATGTTTTCTTCCCTTTACAGAATAAATGGCTCTTTTTAAAACAATATTAATACAGAGAAATGTTAATGCTAGGCTTTGGTTTCCTCTTATGCTTTGCAATAAGCACAAACAAGTAAAATTGAATGTATTCCCATAATCATGTGTTGGCATAATTCTTATTACATCAATAAAAATGCAAACATAAAAATGCCTTTTGTTTGTAACTTATGTTGTCAAAGGAAGATTCATATCCAGTGGCACTTCACCTCTTATGATAGTCTGACGGCATTTACAAAGAGATGAAAAAGAAAAGTATATTTCTTCCATCCACTATATTCAGCTGAGCTAGCAATGGAAAAGCACATCTCTGAAGATCAAAGACAACTATTGACAGGCCTCACATATCTTTCTTTCTGACCAACCTCAAAAAAAAAAAAAAAAAAAAAGTTATTAAAGAAAAGAGAAAATACACAAATTTTCTCTGTGGACCATTACAAAATCACAAAACTATATCTTTCTAAAAATCACAATATATTTTTGCCTCCACTAAGCATTTTCAAGTAAGTTCCAGTAACAGCATTCAACTCTTTATGAAAGGGGAAAATCCAAAACACGGATAATCCTCCAACCCACAAAGCAATGACAATATCAGTCCCACACGATTTGGGGGACAGGAATAGGATAAAGGGGTCCAGCAGATTTTGAGAATGTCTCTTAGGGAGACCCTAGATTACAGGTAACAGCTCCACCACCTCCCTTTCTTTGCCTTATGCGATAAAGTGATAATCCAATTACATTAGGGACCAATCTACAAGTGGTGCTTCCTGAAATCTTCTTTTTTTTTTTTTTTAAATATATCTTCACTGATTTCAGAGAGAGGAAAAGAGAGGGAGAGAGGGAGATAGAAACCTCAATGATGAGAGAGTCATCGATCGGCTGCAGCCCACAACCTGGGCATGTGCCCTGACCAGGAATCGAACCCCGATCGCCTGGATCCTAGGCCGACGCTCAACCGCTGAGCCACGCCCGGCTGGGCCCTGAAATCATTTATGAGACANCGCCTGGATCCTAGGCCGACGCTCAACCGCTGAGCCACGCCCAGCTGGGCCCTGAAATCATTTATGAGACATTTTGTGTCTGCACGAATCCATACGACCTCAGATTTTCTAGATATGTGTTAAATAATAGTCAAACCAGGAACTATCATCAGCTTCTATTGGCATATTTGGCTTAACATTCTTCAAAGTGAAGCTGTGAGGGAAGATAAACTTACAGGTTCAATGTCCCCCTTTAGGAAACACGAAGCCTCCCTAATCACAATCTCACATTTTGCTCCACAATTAGCTGCTAGGCGAACGCAGGCCTGGCTTTCTATTCTCCCTGGAAGAAGATGGGTTCACATGAGATGGATGTAAGCTAGCTCACTGCAGCAGCCAGTGCCAGCCTGCACTTGGACGTCAGTCATCGTGTTTTACACCTGGCACAGCGATCGTGCTTCACGGCTACTATGTGGGACATTCCCATAGAATGTCTCCTTTTATCTTCCCCAACTATGTGAAACAGCCAGTCACTGTAACATCCACTTTTTAGAGAGCTTTGGATGCCGGTTCTGAGACTCCCGGAGGGTTAGTTCTAAAAGCACTTAGTTCGGACAGCCAAAGATAAAAGTTTGAACCCAGGTCCTCTCTTTCCAAATTCTGGGCTCTTTAACAATCCCTGGTTTCTCTGTGCAGGAAGAAATACCAACTCAGAGATGAGAGTGAGGAGAAGGCTGGGAACATCACGATTAGATGTTTTCCTGTTTTGTTCCCCACAAGAATTGGTTCTACTGGTATCACAGTGGTTTTAATACAAGCTAAATACAAACACAATTGTTAGGTATTCAGTCACATATCCTTCAAAACAACATGCCAAGATTGACCTTGAAGCAATTCTAAAAATGAAAACGTATCAAATATCTTCCTTAATAAACTCTAAGGACTCCATATATGAATGCAGAACGTTGAACTTGTCAATAACCACGTCAAATGTTGAGCTACGGACTGAACAGTAAAAAAAAAAAATCTGATTTTAAAATTAAATATCTGCAGGTAAAAGCATGCAATTCCCCACGTCTGCTGTCTTTGCATTGTGCACAGAGTTTCAAGGCAAAGATTGTTTCTGGAGTCAGGAATTACCAGGGGTGGAGACGTGTGCGGCTGATTTATCACAGGCCTATGACTCTTCTTTCTCGGTCGAGCCTTAGCTTCCTTGGGAGCAGGCCTAGGAACCAGTTTCCAGGGAACTGGATTCTAAAAGTCTGGTTCTGGATAAGAATTCCCACTGTAAAAACCTGTAAGCTTTCCATTGGCATCACCATAGCTCTTTGCAGCTAGACGGCGTTTATTTTTTGCATTTTCCCAACCATTCCTTAAACAGCCTTCAGCATTTCTTTCTTTAACAGTCCTTGACATTGTGCCTTTGCTTTTTCTTGCAAATATTCTTTCCCCAGCTCCTCTGCTGCATTTCCCCCTCTTTCTTTCTTTCTTTTTTTTTTTTCTGTTCCCTTTCTTTCCCGGTCATTCTTTCTTGCAACCCATTCCTGGTGCTTTTCTTCAGCAATTATCTTTCTTTCCTCAGGTTCTTCCTTTTCTTGTCTTCCTCCCAGTGGTTGATTTCATGCCTCTGGCGCTCCCTGTGGCGGTGCCAGGCTGCCCTCTGGTAGGCAGGCCTGTTTCTGTTCTTGGTCACCCTGCCTGTCACCACCTGTGTGTCAACTGGGAAGCCCTGGGGGGCAGAGGGGAGATGTGGTGGGGTTGCAGCAGCTCAGGGCAGGGATGGTGAGCACAGTGCCACCACCTCCAGCTCCAGGCCTGCGGGGTCACCAGGAGGGTGGAGAAGCCCCAGGAAGCCCCGAGGCCTGGCCCTGCAGCCAGCCAGGACCCGGGTGTCAGAAGGGGGCCAAGCAGCCCCCCACCTCCCCGCTGAGTTCAGACCAGAGAGCAGCAGCGGGGGCAGGACTAGACGGTTTTCTTTAGCATTTTCATTCTTAGGACTACGGTATTAAGTAATAAAAAGTCTGAATTTAAAAATATTAAAATAATAATAACAACAATTAATAATAATAATAATAATAAGTCTGAGCTGGGAAAGTGCCAGGATACCCATATGTACAAAAGTATGAGAAAATACTGACCAATAAGAAAGTAAATCTTTAAAAGATCAGTAGACTTACTAAAAGCCATTTCCAGAGGGAAAAATATCTGAACATCTCACAACAGAAAATAGAGAATTCAAGGTGGATTGAAAGAACCAGGGAAGATTCCGACTTGCCCAAAGCATTCCAAGTCAGTGTCAAAGCCGGGGCTGGAAGCAAGACTTCTTTCTGACCTGTCTTCAGCCTCCTTTGGCCAAATCATGGGAAGTACTTTCCACCATGAGCAGTTACAGCCCTGTCCACAATTACATCTCAGTTGTAATTATGTATAGTAATTTATGTGCTAAGACTCGACTTTCAGGGTCTCTGAGGAACTACGCGATTTCATTAGAATTGTTTGAATAGCTTGATGAAAACCCACCCTAGACATATTTGAATCAGAATTTCTGGGTGGGACCCTGATACCTAAAAACGTAACAAGAAAATCCCAACCTAAGTTTCTTATGAACAACAGAGTTTGGGAACACTGCTCTACTGGATTTAACTTTTAAAATAGAATCAGGCCTTGGCCAGTGTGGCTCAGTTGGTTGGAGCATTGTCCGGTGCACTGAAAGGTTGCTGGTTCTATTGCTGATCAGGGCACATACCCAGGTTTTGGGTTCAATCCCCAGTGGGGGTGCATAGGGAGGCAACCAATTGACGTTTCTCTTTCTCCCTTCCTCTCTCTAATATCAATAAACATATCCTCTGGTGAAGATTAAAAAATAATAATAAAATAAAATAGAATCAGAACTCTATTCATTTCTTCTAAAGAAACATTCTTTTGTCCTTCTGGTTATCGTTTCTTTTTTAAAAATATTTTTATTGCTTTTTAGAGAGAGGGGAAGGGAGAGGGAGAGAGGGAGAAACATTGATGTGAGAGCGAACCATTGGCTGCCTCCTGCACACCCCCTACCAAGGATCCAACTCACAACCCTAGGCAGGGAATTCAACTGGCAATCTTCTGGCTCCCAGGATGACGCCCAACCAACCGAGCCACACCAGCCATGGCTGGTTATCATTTCTGAGTTCTAGCTCTTAGATGCCTCCTCCAGGCACATTCCATGATGACTGATGAGAAACAGCACTAAACACACACCAGGGTGGGGTGAGGGGGTAGGTGGGAACTCTTAGCTGGGAACACGGAGACTGGGAAATCCCACTAGGGGCCACTTTTAACCCTACATTGCTGTGGTTCTGATACTTCCTGGCCATTTCCTCAGACAATTATAAAGCACTTCTCTTTTAAGAAAATAGGAAAGTCTACCACAGTTCTACCATAGCTGTGAACTGAATGTTACCAGCTACACAATGTGCAGTTCAACTAGAGCATTTCCAAAGCTAATCTAGACATGGTGAAACAAATAGATGGATGCTGGGACTGGATTGTTTGGGTTTTGTTCCTAAACCAACTAGCTGTGTATTCTTGGGAGTATAAATCCAATTCTTGACTTCAGTTTCCCTCACTTAAAAAATAAGGTAATTGGACTAGATTAGTGTTTCAAACTTTCTAACACTCCATAAAAATACGTTTACATCAATCACACACGAATATTGTGAACAGGTTTCATGAAATAACATCTAACTTGGTATGATACACTCTGATACTTTCTATTCTATCCCATACTTTTAACAAATGTAGGTGTAAACCTAATAAGTTAATTTCATGGCCCACTAATGAGTCATGAATGTTTTAATGTTTGAAAAACATTGAACTAGGTGTTATATAGGTTTTCATCTCATGTTAAAATAGAAAATGCATCAGGTACATTTCTCAATGTTCTCTTTTAAAATTCTCTCTTGGTAGGATTATATTAATGTCTATGCAGTAGATGTTAATAGAATATAAAGTTACCATTTAAATTAGTAAAGTTAACTAATCAATTAAATTTGTAACAAGAAAATCCCAACCCAAGTTTCTTATGAACAGAAGAGTTTGGGAACACTACATTTCTGGATTTAATTTACAAATTAAACGAGCAAGTTAAGTATCTCTCAGAATTCAAATATTTCATACTTTAAATTAGCAAACATTTAGACAAGCAAAACTAGTCTTATGATCATTTACTCCACAAATCTTAAGAGTTTCTACCCTCAGACATTTTACTTGTTAGTTTTTTTGTTTCTATTTCCCCAGGCACATCTGGACAAAGGCAGAAACAGTGTGAAGGAGGGAGTGAAAGCAATGACCAGAAGCCAATCTCCTTCCTCCCAAACACATACTTAGAGGCTGACATCATAGCCCCATGGCCTGCACTGCAGATGGAAATGGAACTGGATTTCACTCAGGAAATTTAACCTTTATCAGATAAAGACAGGAAAGACTTCAGCAGAGAAACTCACACCTGCTGTGCCAAGAACTAGAAATCAAGAACCAAAAGTTATCATTATTGCTCTGAAAATAACTTCTGCTAGAGCAATAAAATAGAATGAAGGCCAATGATTGAGCTTCCATTAATGCTTTTCTGTGATAGTTTTATTCTGCTGAAAGTAGAAAAAATAAGACGACAACTGAAAAAACGGTGTCCTAACACTGCCCTATTTCCAGGTGGGAACTCACTGGGACTCAGGTTGCCTGGAGGGCTCACCGGCTGCCTGGCTGTCACCAGCCCAACCCCCACAGCAGTCCCTTGGGCCAGTACAGTCCTTCCCTGAGCAAAAGAGCAGGCACTCAGTGAGCAGCCAGGCTTAGCCAAGGGGCGGAAAGTGAACACCCCCTGGCCTGTGATTTCAGCCCGATCTGGACCAGAGGCAAGCTAGTGTGCCACCTCAGGATCCTCCTCTCTTTTATCACTTTATCAGTTTCCCTTTCTGTCCAGCTTGCTCCTTTCCTTTTTCTCATCTTACTTGTATTTTACCTGTATCTTATCTTTCTGGGGGGGAAAAAATTATTTGATTAGAATTTAACTTGAACACCCTCCCTGCCAGGTTATTTTGATTGCTCTTGATTCTTGCTGCACTAGATACTGCTTTACCAGCTAGTGTGGTATTAGCATAGCCGTTTTAGTCATTATGGAGACATGTCTTACTTTGCAGTGTTACAAAGATTTCGTTAACATTTTCAGGAGGCCCTGCCTACATCGTATGTTATCTAAGATGTAGCTAGTTTATTCATGCAGCCAATTCAGCTGTGCTCATATAGTTGATTAAATCCAGAAGACATCTCAAAGGTCATCAAATCCAATGCCTTAATTTTACAGATGAGAAAACTGTGGCCCAGAGAGTTCAAGTGACTTGTTCCAAATCCTAATCTAATATTCAGTGTGGTTCAGGCAAATATATGAGGCAGAAGAAACTACAGAAGTATGGAAAATTGTGTGCACACTGTGATTTCTTGAAACGTCAGTTTTGGTCATTGGATGTTAAGCACCTGAAAAAAGTCCAGTGAATACATTGATCGTATAACAAAACCTGTTTTAATCACTGAGGATTCAGTTTCCCTTGTACTTGGGCTGGATAATGAACCGTTTCCTAGAGAGGGAGCCGCAGGAGAGAAAGGTAGATGATTCTCTCCCACTCAGGGTTTTGAAGAGCTCTGAAGCCATGCTACCAAAACAGAGAATTTGAATTACTGCAGAGGACGGCAGTTTTGCCCGAAATGAAAGGTAGTGGACAACCACTCTGAGGAGAAATAAATGAGAAATTGGGTAGGGATTGTGAATGGGAGATTTAAAAAATTTTATTTATTTATTTATGGGAATGAGGGGCTTTAAAAGATGAGCACCTGGGGATCTCTGGGCACATGACTGTCAGAGGGAGCCCATCCTGGCGCTTTCTGAAGGGAGCATCCGTGAATGGCACCGTGCTTGTGGGTAATCCAGAGGCAGAGCCACGCTTGGGAAGTTCAGCATCTGTCTACTATAGATTTACACTGGATAGTATTTTGCACCACTAAATCTCTTTCTAAATATAATGTAAAAGGAAAATCCAGACTCTCTAAAATGGTGTACATCCCAGGTAGGAACACAAACTTAAAAAAAAAACAAAAACATAACACTCTCCTAAACCCCACAGGCTTTGGGGTTGGGGCATCTCTGGTTTACACATTACCTCACAGACCCCCCTGGCAATGGATATTTGTTTCCTACGCTGCATTTACAAAGAGCAGAATAATGAAGAAAATTAAATAAAAGGAGAAATACAGTAAAGGTTATAAATGCTGAAAGTGTTCAATTTCATTAAGTCAAATTTAGAAATGTCTATTTTGCCAAGAAATCTTCCATTTCATGCCATAGAATCCCATGTAAGAAGCCTTTCATTCTTAGTTGTTGCTGCTCTTTTCTAGTTTCTTAAAATACATATTTGGTCTCTTTGGTAGAAGAAATAGAATTTTATTTTGCTACAATTTAAAACTCATGGAAAAATTGTAAGAAATGGCTCCTGAATTCCTTTTACCCAGATTTACTACATATTTGCATGTAGCCCCCATTGCTTTCCCTCCCCCACTCTTTCTCTCTCTCTGACTTGCTCACTCCTTTATTTTCTGAACCACTTAAGAGTACTTTGAAAACATTGCATGTCTTTAGCTCTGAAAATGTTTAATAGGTAGTTAGACAGACATGAGCAGAGCAAGGACAGTGGGCGAGGTACAGAAACTCACCAGGGCCAGAAGCTCTGGATGCCAAGCAAGGGGCAAAACTGGGAAAACAAGAACCTAACCCCCAGGGTAACTTATTTTCCTCTAGCATATTGCTAGTCACTCGGTTTGGACACCCTGACTTTTCATATTGCCAGTCATGTGGTTTAGACGCCCCTGAAGTTTTCCTCCCTAAAGATAACATCTAGGCCTCAATTGTATTTCAGCTCTAGGCCCAGAAAAGCAGCAAAACCAGACAAGTGGCTGTGGCTGCCTTAAGACCAGCTGTATTGACTAATGACCCCCTGTCCTGGCACCAACCAATCAGGGGAGACTAGGACCCCAAAAGAGCACACCTGGGAAGCTGATGAATATTCTATTGAGACCCACCCCTGAGATCTCCCCTAAGATTCCCACCTGCAAGAAAGAGATAAATAGGCTCAGGACAAAGTACCTGGGGCACTTTCTCCACCAGGGGAGCACAACAGCACCATCTCCATCCCTCCAAGAGGACCCCATGAGACTTGCAGCAAGGGGAGTAATGGGCAGCAGCAGCTTCTCCAGGGCTTATTACCCCCTCAACCTATGTCCAAGGCCCCCTTCTCTCTCTGACTCCTCAGTGAGCCAAAAGCAGACCAGCCTAGGCTCTCCTATTGCTTCTTCTATGCTCTTCCTTGTTTCACTGTCCCAAGTATATTTTTGCTGCGGCCAATAATGTGCTATATGATACTTTCTTTTCTACACTTTGTCTCTTGACTGACATCTTTCCCTCAAGAAGACAAGAACTATGGTCTTGTCGTCTCCCCAGTAACAAAAACATCGGTGTATAGTTCCTAAGAACAAAAACATTCTCTTACAAAACCACCTTCCAATTTTCAAGATTATAAAATTTTATCATTGATACAATACTCATTTAATCATTACCCTGTTTTTAATAAGGAAGACACTGAAGTCACTACATGTTATTCTAAATAGAGCTTTCATTGTGTGCCTCAGTTTGGGGGATGAAGTATTTCCAAAGTACTATTTTGTAATAAAGGAAACCAAATAGACAAATGCTGTTTTGTTACCTGCTGATGCATTAGTTACTTCATAGTTTATTAAAAAGCCTTCATAAGCAAGGTCAGAGTCAGACACAAACACAAGCATTAATGAGTTGCTACTGCTGATAAGAGAGGGCGGGATCGATCTTCCACAATATCTATTTGAAACCAAAAAAGAACACAGGTTTAAAATATTTTAGTACACTTTAAATGATGTACCAAAATTAAGACATATAAAAAAATAATAACATCCCTATTACCCTTAAAAATACAAATATATTTTAGGCACCAAAACATTTACAAAATTGTAAATACCTTCCTACTCATGCTTCCCTAAAACAGTGTTATATGTGTGCCTAACTATATGACTTGTTGTGCATAAGTTTAATGAAATTAGAAATTACAAGCTATATTAGGTTACCAGATAGCATATTATCGAATTTGTTAACAGAAATGTAATAAACTTTCACAGCAAGAGCAACCATATATCATAAACACATAGAGCTCAGACTTGAGTCAGCTCCATCATTTACAGCCATTATGACTTTGAGCAGATCACTCAACCTTTATGCCTCAGTTTCCCCATCTCTGAACTGTGGATGATGATAGTAATTACTTCATAGGGTTGTTTTGAGAATTTTATGACTTAATATACTATGTGTAAAGGACTTAAAATAGTGCCTAGAATAATAAGCCCTATATAGGTAAAATCTATTATCTTTAGACAGCGGGTCTGTGCAGAGGTAAAAGTTTAATTAGTAAGCCATGTCAAATTTTTGCTGAATAAAAGTAATTTTACTCAGAAAAACTGTTCTGGTCATGCTAAAAGTGGAGTTGTGATAAAAGACATGCCATGAGCATTTTTCTAGAGAAACACCTGTAAGAAGGAGTGACTAGAAAATAGAAATCTCAAATCTACGCATCATTGGTGAAATTAATCAAATGCAATGACTGGGAGGGAGGGAAATAGAAACCAGAATAAGAGAAAGTGTTGAATATGGAAAATTGATTAATTAATTTCTGAAGGAGGAAAAGAAAAAAAAATTGGTGTATAATACTACTTCATTGTTAAAATAGATTTGAAATTTTGATCAAAATAAAATTGTATGAATTTTACTATTTTAAATCTCTTGTATATGCCCATGTCATCCAAGTTGGGCAAGATCATTAGAGTACTCTGTGCCATTCAGCAAAAAATGTGTATTTTTCAGTGATTATGTACCATAAAAAAGAAAAAGAAACGGTTTTAAAAATGAAAGATTAAGACAAATAAGAGCAAAAAATGAAAAGGGAAAATAAAAGCAGGAGAAAAACTGAGCTTAAGAAAATAATGGGTAATGGAAAAATGTCTGAAAACTACATGAAAACATTAAATGCAAGAAAAAGAAATTTTAAAATATCAGGAGATTTCCATTTCCAACAAAGAGGTAATAACAGGGGTTGGATGTAACCTTGCACCCAAAACTAGTAAAATATATAAAACAATGGCTTTGAAGACACTGAATATCAAGCAGTGAAGGGAAGCAAGTGAGTTTAAAAGCAAAACTGGACTGGACATGAGCAAATTGTTTCCAAGTAACTTTACTGCATCCCAAAGCAAACCTCAAGAATACTTACAGGAATACAATAATGTCCTGTGCACAAAAACACAAAACTGAAAATGTCTAGCATCCTATCAAATATTACTAGACATGAAAGAAAGAGGAATGTATAACCCATAATGGGAAGAAAGACTGACCAACCAAAGCACAGCAAGAAATGCCACCGATGACGGAATGAATTAGCAGTCAAAGACTTTAAAATAGTTACAGCTGACTCTCACAGGTTTAGGAAGCTAGAGAAAAACATTAATGTGCAGAGTAGAAACATGGAAGATATGAAAGATGGTCCAAAGCAAAACTTCTAGAAATGAAAACTACAACGTTGGTATAATAACACACATGGTAGGGCTAACAGCAGAACGGGCATTAGGGAGGAACAGATTTGGGCACCTGGATGCATAACAATAGAAACTTTCCAAAATGAAACACTCGAAGAACAGGCTCAAAATCAAAATGGCCTAAGATACAAGTAATCAGACTCCTCAAACTATTTCAAGAACTAATGGCCAAAAATCTTTCAAATTTGATAAAATTATAAGCCCTTAGATGCAAGACGCTCAACAAAAACATTATGCTGACGAGGAAAAGCCAGTTTAAGAAAACAGTAGAGGAGTTGGGAAGATGGTGGCCCTGTGAGAAGCTGAGGCCCCGCTCCCAGCCACGGACTCGATTTGCTCCTAAAATCCTACGGAGCCAGCTTGGAAAAAACAGAGAAACATACCTGAGTGGACGGAGCGCAAGTGGGGAGTCCGGTAAGGGGGCNACGGAGCCAGCTTGGAAAAAACAGAGAAACATACCTGAGTGGACGGAGCGCGAGTGGGGAGCACTGAGGACACTGAGGAGACATCACGGAGCCCGGTAAGAGGAGGGCGCGTAGCCTGAAGCCTGTGCTGGGCTCTGAGCCCCGAGGCCTGGAGGCTGCAAAGCTCCCTCCCCTCAGGCGTGCGGACGGCATCCAAAAGCGGGGACCCCACACCCAGGGGGAAGGAGCACCCCGCGCACAGGGCAGAGGGGACCTGGGGAGCGGTGAGTCCGGGAGGAAACGGCGCCTTCCTGGGAAACAAAGCTTCTAGCGGCGGCTGCCACCAGCATCTAGTGCTCCGGGTGCCAACCACAGGGAAGGCTGTCCCAAGGTGTGTGGCACCCAAGTGGTGAGGGACCAGAGGACTGCACTGAGCAGCCGCACACGGGGACCCTCTGCCTCCCTGTGGGGCATCGTGTTGAGCCCCAGAAAGCGCTGAATCTGTGGGGTGCGGGGGAGGGGAGGAGCCCTCCTGCCCTGAGCTCCTGGTGCCAGGAGGCTGGGATCTGTCACCAGCCCTGAGGGGCCCCGCGGTGGCGCGTCAAGCCGCCCCAGCTTTGCTGAGACCAGTGGTGCTGGGAGCTGCGTGGAGCTGACTTTGGGGCCCATCCCGCTGGGGGCCTTGGAGCAACGGCAGTGGGGACTTGCAGGGTGGGCTCCCTGCCTGTGTGCTGCTTTGTGCCTTTGAGTATGATCCCAGCACTGGCTCCCACCTTCCCAGCGTGCACTGCGCAGACAGACCAGCGGAGGCTGGGATTGGGGTCTGCACAGTACACGGTCTGAGGGGCGGGCCTGGTGCGACCAGCCAACCAGAGCTGAGCAGGGAGGGGCGGAGCCCGCCGGCCTCTCCTGCAGCCGGGAGCTCCGCCCCCAACAGGAAAGGGGCGGGTCCCGCTCACTGAGGCCCCAGACACCCCCGCCGGGCACAGTCCTGAGTGGGAAGGGAGAGCAGCTCACAGGAGGACTTTACAAGATTAAGACTCTCAGGGACTGTGGTTTGGGAACTGGAGGAAACAATGAAAACCCCTGGTGGGGGCTGGGCAGGCAGAGGGCTCACTGGAATGTTTTTTAATCGAACCCATTGAGCCCAGGCTGCTGAAACGGCCCATATAGAAAAGGCAACAGGCTGAAATCAATCTGAAGCTGCAGCAGGCCAGAGCCTGGGGAACTAGAATCAGGACAGGGTAGGGACTGAGGAGCTGGTGGTAGGGCAGAGACTAACTCCCACAGAGTGAGCCCCTGACAGCGACACCTCTAAGGGGAGTGATACCCTGAGCTACACTAGCCACCCTGCACCCTAAAGACTCTACAGAAGACTCTGGAGTAAGACCAGGCAACTACAAGTTTGCAAAATAGCTGATAAGAGGAGGTGGCCCACAGAGAGCCTCAGATCAACCATCTACCTAAGGACATCAGAGCCAAACCTAGACAGCTCCTCACACTGGGTGATACACAAGCACCTCCCAGGAGAACTGAAACCAGCACACAAAACAGTGAGCCTCAGACAACATAAGCTGCCCAGAAGAAACTCACCTGATTGACTGTCTTTTTTTCATCTGGTTTTTTTTTGTTTGGTTTGGTTTGTTTTGTGTGTGTGTGTGTGTGTGTGTGTGTGTATGTTTTTAATTTTTTTGTTTGTTTTTTGTGTGTTTGTTTTTTCTCTGTTTTCTTTAGGAAAAAGAGAAAGGGGAGAAAATTTGTTTTCTTCCTTTTTAAATTTTATAATTAAAAAAAAATTTTTTTTAACATTTTTTTAACTAAATTTTTTTCCCTTTTTTATAAAAAATTTTGTCTTGCTTAGCTTGATTTTAGTTTTGTTTAGTTTATTTGCTTTGTTTTATTTTATCCTTGCTTCTACTATCAAGATTTTCTTGATATCCCTGCTTAAAGACTGGGATTTTATCATTATAACCATGTTTACTGCTTTCCTCTATAGTTTTCACCAAATCTCTTACCAGACTCCCTCCCTGCCTGGGCTTTCTCTCTTTCTCTCCTCTCGATCCATTGGCATAACTTTTTTTTCTTTTTCTTTTTTCTTTTCCTACTTTTCTTTCGTTCTTTTGTTATCCTCCCTTCTGTCTTCCTGTCTTTTTGTTCGATTGTTAGTTTCTCTTATTCTCTTTATTGTATTTTTGTTTTCTCATTTTCAATTAGTATTCTATTTCTATTGTCTCCCTTAATGTTTTACTGACTCTTCTTTCAGAATCTTTTCTCTACTTCTGTTATCTTCCAGTAGCTTCCCTATTTCTTACATTTGAGTTTATTATTATTTTCTAAATTTTCACCACTATTAACAACAATACACATCTCTCTCTCTAAGCGTTACTTTTCTTTCTCTTTCTTTTTTGAAGCATTTGTTTGTGTGTGTGTGTTCTCCCTTCACTCTCCCAGTTCTATTTTCATGTGGGTTGTTTTCATTGTGACTATTAAGATATTTTGTAATATAACTCTTTTTTCCTGGAAGTTGTGTATTTTCCTGCCTTGCCAGCACCTGTACAAAGCTGACACGACAAGGTTGGGGCTGAGACACAGCCAACCTGAGAGAAGGGTCCTCCCAAGGACTGATCAATGACAATCTAGACCCAACCACAACAGGAGAACATAAAGAAACAACAAAAGGGACACCCACAAGAGGGACACGCCTAGAGCAAAGAGCTCAGAAGTATAAGGAAAACACACCTCTGGGTTCCATTAGACCCACAAGACAAAATCCCATCCCACAAGACTGGGAGACAGCAAGTCTATCAAATATATA